GATCAATATCAACACATTTGTTTCAAGTGGGTGTGTCCCCCTTAAACGACGTCGTTAATTAACGACGCTCATGTTTGTCCTTTATGTGGTGTTTACGGAGTAATCACTTATACTAATACTCAATTAATTTGCTTTTCAATATTTGGCCTTATGAAAAAAATGCAAACCGTGAAGTTTTATCTTAAATTAAGTCTGCCTGTAGTACCCCAACCGTTTTGTGGTAATAATCTTGGAGCACATGGTCATGAGTTTTGTATGGCAGTGTTTGGCTTTCGCTGCATCGATCTAAGTATGTGATTTTGTAATGAATCACCATTTTTCGTGCACTCGAACAACTGATTTCTGAACTGCGTAGTATTTCTTTTAATTAAACAATGTGAATTATGGAAAGTTATTTATTTATATCAAATGGCAGCGTTTTAATAGTTATCATTGGCCCTTTAGTTGACTTTGGGCTTCACAGAGGGGAAGGAAAATCAAAATGAAAAGTCAAGAGGGCGGCGGGGAACAGAAGAGTGTTTCGAAGATGTAAAAGAGACAGACAGAAAGGTAGAAAAAAGGTTAGGTGAGTACTGTGGAAGGGGTCGAATATGACATACAGTGGGGTGATGGTAGTTTGAAGTCAGAAGTCAGCTGCCAATTAATAGACTTTTTACCGTATGATTATACATTGCCCAGGGTGCACCACATGGAGGTTAGTATATCACACACCCCGAATTATGGTAAGTAGCATCTCAGATAGAAATACTTTCAATCATGAAAGTAATAGCCTTGCATAAGTCTCTAGAAATAAAATAAGGACATTTTACACCCTTTGATGAGGTATTTTCGATCATGAATTTGCTTTTTCGATGAAATGCTTTTTTTGATGTGCCTTGAAAGTACCTTTAAAGAGAAAATCGCACTCTTAAAGTACCCCTGTGGCATCAATAAAATTTGACTCCCCTCGTAACCGGATATCATATGAGGTTTTTCTTGCTTGCTTATATTAGATTAGGGGAATTTACCCTGTTTATTTTTTTAGCAGAATCGTGTGGTGGTTAATGATGAACGAGAAAAATCCATCACCGGTCGATCACGAAAGGCCTCTCGCAGTAACGCTATTCGGAGGAACTCCTCTTTGCAGAGTAAGCCTTTGTGTCTCTTTGGCACAATTTCCTTACTTTCTGTAATATTTGCTTCCACACTCCTGCACAATCCCAAGAAGTCCTGTCTCCACTCATTCATTAGATATCGCAAATCGATGTTTGTTTCAGACTCGGGAAGATATGAGGCAGAAGTACATTTACTTCAAGGCACCTTGTTACGCAAATCATGACTGCAGGCATCAGGGTGCCAGTGGTTTTTTTTATTAAATTACATCATATAGATAGGCCAAGTAAATATGAAAACGCATAAGGTCTGTATGAGTTTTATGCTTAAAGATGAAAATTGGTGGTAACAACGCGGCTATTTACCTCATGTCTGCCTATCTTCTCCAGGGGTGATCAAGCCAGTGGCCACACTGAGCTCCCAGTTTGGCTTCCCATTGGTCTCCTCTGCATACGGTCTGCTCTTCGCTTTGGTTCGACAGGGTTGCGAGTCTACTTCTCATTAACTTTTACCTCATAACTATATATATATATATATATACTAATATGTAATCAAGTCAAGGTGCTTTCCCTCGGGTCTTCTGAGCCTTTCCAAAATCAAATTTATGACGGGTAAGCAATATTTTGAAGAAAGCTTCCAGACCAACGTTCAAGGAATCATTATCATGGGACGTATAACTTAAGACATAGCTGTTCGGAAGAACGTTCCTTTTTGTTCGACTTCTTGGTTCTACCTTTAATAGCCTGATTTCTTTTTAGATCCCTATTATCAACGCTACACTGCAACACAGAATCGCGCCAACCCCACTGCTCTCGTCCTTCGCGCCTCGCCAAGTAGTAGTCAACTTCCGGCAAAAATCCGAACATCGTCAACTGGAAGAGAGTCAGGCAATAGTGGCTCCTCTCTAGCCTCTAGCGCCACTCCAACTTCCTCTTCCTCCTGGTTGGCTTACAATAACAGTAGCAATCAGCGTTCAATCAGCGTCTCTGACCTACATTCTCTGCAGCAGCATCAAGCATCCGGATCCACTATGACCCCCTCCTCCCTTTCCAGACATTCCAACTCTCAGAATACCACCGCTTCTCATACACTTTCTAGTGCCTCTTCCACTACGGTTGTGAATCGGCACTCGACTGGATCTAATCGTTACATTGTCATCGGAGCTAATAATATGAGAAAGGTGAGTACTAAATGTGAAGTCAATTTCTAACCCCATCTCCATATATTTATTTGCGGTTGTGGTGAATAAATGGGGTTCTTGTGTTTATTTGACTTATTATATGGCATATAATTTATTTACAATTTAATTTCACTCGCAATACAATAGATATCGAATTCATTTTCATAGCTATTGTGTGTCGTACAGGGATGTTTCAAGTTTCTTCGAAATTGTACTACGCTTCCTCATTTTATTTTCTCCGTCTGATCAGGAGTCATGATTTCCCAACTCACTACAACACCTTTTTTTCTATGCTAGCTAAAACCATTTGTAAGGTAGGCGTCAACTTGCAAACTGCAATGTCACAGGTCTTTTCGTGAAATTAGTTCAAGAAACCATTTCTTATTCATAGAACCTTCTAGTAGTTCGAAATTTATTAGAGTGAGTTGGTCTTCGTCAAACAATAATGATAATAATAAAAAAATAAAATTAACAAGGAAAATTAGTTTCTTATTTCCATTTTTTAATTTTTTTCTAAGTGGAGTTAGTTGCATCACACTTTCTGTATTTCTTCCATCTACCACTCACTTGTAACCTTCCCCTTTAATTACCATTTTTACTCTTTCAAGTTTATGTTTTTTCACGGTTAGTTACTATACTTGGAAGGTGCTTAAAGTTGTGACTGCCTTTAAAATTCAAACTATGGGTGTAAAGTTCTTTAAAATTATTATTTAGCCATATATTTCGGCTTAGGCATCCAACGTTTATTGCAAATTTCGAATTAAGTAAAGTTTGTTTGAGAATTGCAAATGGCTGGAATGCATTCCAGTGCGTTTTATGCTGATATTGTTTCTTATCAGCATAGAGTTCTATTGTCTTTGTAGCGTTCACTCTTAGGTTTGGATGTGTATTCAGTGCTAGTTCTCGATGGAACATCTGGTGGTGCTTTTTCTCATCTTTGTAACAAAAAAATTAATGCTGTCGATTGCGTGATTGTTAACATGGGTTAATTTTTAAATCATCCCCGGAAACACTTGTTGTGGGTTGACTGTCATTACAATTGCTGTTAATTATCTAGTACACTGAAAAAGCATCGAATATGTGAACTCGAACCAATTCGAAAATGACACAGAAGGAAGACTGCAATAATCAGCGCAACTTCGTATGATCGCTTAAAAGGTCTAGTGATTGTTTCCTCTGCCTCTTAAACTCAAAAAAACATATGTGCAGTTGTGGGGAATTCAATTACGCTGCAGTTAAACTTACTACCTAAAGGATGTTATAGTTGTCTATTTGGTCACGTGATTTTCGATTATCAGTTGGCTGATGTAGTAGTCATCTTTACGCCCGTGCGTACATATGGAAGCACATGTTCGTTTGACCATTTTGGTATGTTTCATGTTCATTTCTAAAGCCCCTAGAAAAAAATATATTTTTATATTCGAATCGATCTTCGTTACCTTGTGAGTTAGCATATTTGCCGCCATGTTAGGGTTCACGCCGTCCAGACCAATAGGTAAATATCCAATTTTTCAACAAGGAAAACTTCTGAATACCAAGAAGTGTTGATTGTTGCACATCCGCTTAGTTAGAGGTCACGAGTTCATGGCTTATCAAAGTATATCCAGTTAAGCGATTTATTTACAAATTTCGACGGAATAGTAAAAATTCATTTATGAAAGTTTATGCTTCAAGTGAATTACAAATTGCACCTAAAGCACTCATACGTTAAAGGCTGCTCAGAACTCAGTTAATCTACCCAGTGTATCGAATGATTCCTGTTGTGTCTTGCTATTGGTAAATCAAAGAATTCGTTTGCTCTTGGTTCTCATCGACGATGCACTACCTGCGCGAGTACACAAAAGTCTCAATTTAGTTAGGGATGACCAAGTCGAGAATTCGTCCTTTGTGTTGAATCTGGTTATCCAAGCGTCACAATTCTCAGTTCTACTTCCCAAGACTATCGACTTGTTGGTTTATTTCAACGGCTTGCTTGGCGGTACACCGAGTTGTGGGTATGTCGAACAAGACAGGCAGTCATTTCTTCACTTCGTCGTTCCTTTGAATTCATCACTGTCCTTTTTGTTTGCGGTCTGTTCAAAGGATGGAACCTTATACCACCTGATGTATTAGCGGTGTTCTAAAAAAATATTGCCAATCTAATTGAGCTTACTTTTAAAGAGTCATCTTTGCTAATGTTTGCGTGTGTGTGTGTGTGTGTGTGTAAATGGTGGCGTGGGTTAGAAAAAAGGCAATGTCATGCGATAAAAAGATCGTTTTCGAAGTGACTAGTAATAATTTGGTGGTCTTATTGCCTGCCTATAAGACATATTCAATCCTTGTGCAAGAAATGTACAAAGTGAAAAAATATTGGTTTAGTTGCAAAGAAAGTAGCTTTCTGATAGGTGGTAAATTCGCATCTTTCCAAAGAAGTTTGGAAATCAATTATTTTACTCTAGCGCTAGATTATTTCACTACTCTCTTCTATTGCTCATACCTGACAATGAAATCTTCTCATTGTTTTCTTTTCTGTTAGTCAGCCTCAAAACTCACGATTTTAAGTAAGTAGTTCTTTTTCACAATAATATTATTGGGGGGGGGGGGGGGGGGGGGGGGGGGGG